CCTGGAAAAAAAGAAAATCAATTAGTTTAGTGTGTGTTTTTAGCTATTAAACATTTTCTGGGGTGGACAATTATCCTACGCAGTTACACGATTTGAACAATTTTGCTGTTTCATCTGGTATATATATATATATATATATATATATATATATATATATCATAATTCCTTTGTAGGCTACCCATATCAACATACACCCGAGGGCGTTCGCAGGATACAATGGCCGAAACGTTATGGTGACAACAAAAGAAATGAGGACAATCGTCCGAGTATGCAGGGTGCGATGGATAAATTGTTGTCTAATTTACGTAAAAATAAAATAAAACGAAATCTCATTTTAACAAAATAAATTTTCAAAAATTACCCCAAAATACCTTTAAATACTAAAGAGTAAATGTATTCAATAAAATCGCCATTGGCTTCAACCACGGTCTCCAGACGACTTCGGAATCTCCTGAAATTCTTCTGTTCGTTCTTCTTGCTTAAGTTGGTGAATGCTGCCGTAATCCTTGCCTTCAGTTTATCTTTGGTGTTACAAGGAATTTTTTGGTCTCTCGCTCAGCTTCATCCTACACATAATTTTCAAGTTTGCGGAATTAGGTGGCCGGATGTAAGGAGGGATGTTGTCGCAGAAACTGTCTGAGAGTCATGACAGGGTTCTCCTGTTTGTGCCGCATGGGGCAGAGTCCTGTTGCAAGTCTTCCATCAGCCACCCTATTGACCCAAGCCATCCCTACTTGGTCAAGGCACTTGATGTACGCCTCTTTGTTGAGTCTGAGGCCGTCACCAACAAATTCCAGAGTTCTTTTCTTCTCAGAACGATTACAGGGAATTTTTCTAGCCTCCGTACCTTCATAATCACCATTAAACTCATCCAACTTTTTCCGAATTCTTTGCACTTGGCACACAAACACTCTGAAATGTTCTATTGGAGTTTCTGGTGCCAATTGCGTCATGATTTTCTTTTTCTCACAGACGGTACACACCTAACCTTACTTTCCTTTGCAGTTGATAAAATCAAAAACGACAACGCAGATATTCAAAATTAAAAATATAAATGGCGACAATTTACCCATCGCACACTGTAAATACTGTATTTGATTCATATACATGAATTCGTATGCCTTTATCACCCTTGTTCTCTCAGAACATGGATGACTATGGCTCTCCACAACTTCCAGACGTTTTATTCATGAATACTAAATTTCTTAAAATCTTTATTAGATGTTTATACATATATCATGTATATGCCATGTTCTATCAGATCATTGGCGATCATGACTCTCCAGAACTTCCTGTAGTTTGTTACTCTAAGTCACATTTGGACCTTGACTATCAGTTTTTATTCTTGTTCTACAACCTAATTAAAGTGTTTGTGTGAATAGACGATATATACACTATCGTTAATTATGTTATTCGCTGTTTCTTGCCTTACATATGTCATGTGGGTGCTAAATTCTCCTCACTTCCCGAAATGTCAGCTGTCTCTTTCCGATATTAAATATATATTTCCTTGTTGATCCTATCTTTTTTAACACTTCCTAGTTGTTCACAGGTTCTGTCCATGTTATTCTTAGTATTTGAACCGCATTTCTGTTGCTTGGAATCTCTTCTTCATCTCTGAGCACACTTTTCAGTATTCACTGCCATAATAGAAATTATATATTATAGTACTCTTTTAGTTGCTTGCATGGACATTTTATGTTTAACATTTTTGGAAGATATATGTCACTATTCGTAAACGTCTTCGTATTTTTTCGCCATATTTTCCGATTTTTGTTACTATAAGACGTCCATAATTAGATTTAAGTACCTACTTGAATTTGACATCTTTGGGATGGTCTCTGTCTTTGAAAATCAAGCAGTCTGTCATTTCAATGTTATGTTTTTTTTAATTTTGATTACTGTTATTATCTTGTTTAATTTAGTATTTTTAGTTTAATTTCTGAATCTGCCATCAGCATATTTCCATCTGTGTGTTTTAAGTTGTTAAGATTATGCTCGCTGATAATAAATCATGATGCTGTATTTTCTGGTGTATCATACAACTCCGTGTTTCTGAAGGTAAAAACAAGGCATCAATAAATTACAACCTTGAGTATAATACGAGGCCGTAGTACAGCCATTGCTATGGAATTTCTTTTCAAAGTTGTACAAATATTATCGATGAAAATCTCAGTGTCGTGCATACATTTCCCTAAAATATTTCATTTTTCACGAAATTAAAGGATATAACTTAACCGGATGTTTATCCGTTGTGTGATTTTTCTCCTAATTTCCGTTTCAAAACTTATTTTCGAATTTTCGGGAAACGTGCTAACTAAATATGTCCGGTAATGCATTTTAATATGTTAATCTAGCCTACTTTTTCTCTTTAATATGACTTTATTATTTTTCTATAAATTAATCAATTATGAAAATAAAAAATATTGTTTTTCATGAAGTCGTAGGAATACTCTAAAAATAGAAAAAAAATAAAAAAATAAACAAACTTTATCTTGAGAGAAAATCGGTTCTAATTTTAAACATTATGTTGATTCCCAAAGAGAAAATATTGCCGACATATCAAATATCTTTTGTAAACAATTGTTATCAATGGCAGCCTATTTTGTCTTCTCTTATCTATTGAGCTACCTGAATGTATTTACAAAATTGCTTTTTCAAATAAACTTTTTTGAAGCTGAGTAATCATTTGTAAAATACGACCCCCGCCGATTTTTGCCTTTAATTTTCTTTCAAAAATGTATCATGCTCTACACAAGAAAAATACTGTAAGACTCTTAGGATCGTCACGTTATGTAGTTTGAATAAATCCGATGAAAAAACATATACGTGAGTCGCCTGGCCAAGATATAAATGTAAGCAAACTCACAAGTTGACAGACTAAAAGACATGTAACTGTACCAGAATGCAACAACTGGTACTACAGGATAATGGCCTCGTGTATTACGGCGTAGGTTCATGCATTTGCGTGACATAATGCTTATTAGTTCAATCCCTGGGCTGGGCAGTATGTACTTGGACGAGCGTTACTATAAATAAAAACTTGACAAGGTATCTCTAGACAAGGACAGTGAAATGAGAACAGTCTTACACTCCCTTAGATTAAATAGAGGGTTCCGTTTGGAATTACGTGGAGGTTAACCAGTTCGATATACACATGAGAAAGTTGTGATGATAACGACAAAGACGAGGAAAATAGCACAAATATGAAGAGTGTAATGTCTTATTCTTCCTTCTCAGCGTTTTCATTGAGCTTGTGAAGGTTGTCTGCCAAGTAAACTTGTCCTTGAGCAACTGTATTTCTGCAGAGTTATCGGCACATTGACGAAACGTAATAAAGCTTTGAGTTCATGCCTTCTTTTCTTATTATTAATCATATACAAAATAACACTTTAAGAACGAAATAAAAGAACAATGTATTTTTGTTTTTAGTTTTATTTGTATCTATCGTTACTAATTGAAGAGGGCATTTTCGTTTTCGTAAATTTACAGGCTTTGGGGAGAGAAAAAATAAGTGTATGTAGATATGTTGCTTCAAATTGGTGATTCTATATTTTGCTTTGTGACCTGATGATTTCTTTTTCGTTTTTTTTTATTCCATATGAAAGGAATCTTACTGTCATTTGCATAGGTTTGTGTAGACATTTTTTATATTATTTTTCACTCTACTCAATTTGTTAGTTTTCTAACAGATAATTGTATTATGTTAGAACTCTTTGTCAATAAAAAGCGCTATGCCAAATACAATGTATAACAAATAGCAATATTTGATACGCACATTTGTTTAGCCCCTGTATGCATCTACGAATAGAATGTTACATGTACAATAATTATGATATGTTTATTATTATGTTACGTTTACTCACAGTGTGCGTGTATATGTGCATATATTTCAATACTAAGTAATGAAACAATGTTATTATATAATTGTTTACAACTCTTCGGACTGTGCCATTGACATTGAAATCTCGTCGCGTTTTTCTCGGTGCAATGAATTAATATTTATTTTTTCATCATAATATTGTAATTTATTTCCAATAGCGTCAAGATTTTAGAATTTCTATTCACCCGCTTCCTTAAAACTAAGTATAAAATTATCAAAGTATTTGATTAGGGGAATAAAAAAACCGTACAGGCAGTTTTGCAGCACATGAGTGCGGCTAGTCATGTGATTGCTTCAAGCTGTGATCGAAACCCGATCGATTTCACATCAGTCGGTGACTCTCATTCCTAGGCCACCTGCACAAGTTGTAGAAAAAGGAAATTTTAACACGAGATATACGCATTACCAACTACAAAGGCACTCAATTCATAGCGAATTGCTTTCAGTATTAATTAGCAGACACACTCCCTTCCTTCCAAAGTGCTCAACCTACAAAAGGTGTATATATATATATATATATATATATATATATATATATATATATATATATATATATATATATATATATATATATATATATATATATATATATATATATATATATATATATATATATATATATATATATATATATATATGTATATATATATGTATATATATATGTATATATATATATATATATATATATATATATATATATGTATATATATATATATATATATATATATGTATATATATGTATATATATATATATATATATATATATGTATATATATATATGTATATATATATATATATATATGTATATATATATATATATATATATATATATATATATATATATATATATATATATATATATATATATATATATATATATATATATATATATATATATATATATATATATATATATATATATATATATATATGTTATATATATATATATATATATATATATATATATATATATATATATATATATATATATGTATATATATAAATATATATATATATATATATATATATATATATATATATATATTGAATTTAGGCCTTATTGACTCTTTGTAGGTTATTTATAGCTAAAACATATTTCAGATTTAGAAGGTTTCTGTTTCTATGTGGTCTCTCATCTAAATACTGATTGAGCTCGATACTGCTTAACTTCTGTGATCAAACGAAAACCGGTGCTTCCAGCGTGATCTGAGTGGAACCATGCATAATATTATATAATATAATAAACTTATCAAAATTTCGATAGTTTTGAAAAACTAAGAAACTACAAAGATCTGCAGGTGGCATAAGAAAAAGATGTGACACTTAAAGATTAAAATTATTCCTGTTAAGTTTGGAGCTTTGGGTCTAATGAAAAAAGGAACTGAACAACAAAACAACAAAATACATAGTGAACAATTTCTCCAGTAAATGACTAACAAATATTGTCTATATTCTGCGAAAGGCTTTGTCTATTTATGCATTGATAGCTGAATTAAGTGGAAACAACAAAATAAACTATCTTCAATTTGCCCTAGATCGTTGGGCTGATGCTCTATCCATCTCTCATCATGAGCGAGAGTAGACAGTGAGAATCATGGTAATGGTGTCAAGAGGGTTTTTGTTTCATGTTTGAAGAATAAGCTGGCCAAAGTGACTTTAGAGTCCCATTTTAATACATGTGAATATAGTCAATCAGAGACCGAGAGGAATTGGTCTCTCTACCTCAAGGCATTTATAACTTAGTGGCCATTGGTTTTGACCACGACCTCCAGAAAATTTCGGAATCACCTGCCAATCTTATGAACGCTCTCCTTGTTTAAGTTGGTAAATGCTGCCATAATCCTTGCTTTCAGTTCAGCTTTGGTGTTTCACGGAGTTTTGTTGATCTCTCGCTCAACTGCACTCCACATATAATAATCAAGTGGGTTGAAATCTGGTGAATTAGGTGGCCCGATGTAAGGGGTGATGTTACCTGACCGCCATAACTGGGTTATCCTTCTTGTGTAACATGGTGCAGAGTACTGTCGTCAGAATAAGTTCTTCCAGCAGCTACCCTCTGACCCAGGGCGGCACTACCTCCTCAAAGCACCTGATATAGGACTCCGTGTTGAGCATGAGGCGCTATAGAAAGTTAAATGGTGGCATCACGTCGTCATCACTAGTGATTACACCAAAAGCTCTTTCCGAATCCTCTGCACTACCCTCAGATTGGCACTCAAACACTTTAAAACGTTCCTATTGGAGCTTCCTCCGCGAAGGCTTAGCAGTACAGCATGCCTTTTCCAAATTTCTGGCGGAGTGAATTGTGTCATTGTGCTCTTTTCTGATTTTTCTCTATTCCGTAGTCGACAATAAAAAACAAACAACGGACATATGCAAAATTAAAAATATAAAATGGCGACAATTTTAAGTAATGTATTAAATGAAATCTTTGGAGGATATTTAATGGAATAATTATCGGCGCTGAAATTTATGTGCTGTGCCGAGTTTAAATTCCGCTCGTTTCTGTTTAATTCCGTTTTGAAAAGGCAAGAAATCATTTCTCTCCACCAATAGGTTAATTAGGAGGGCAGATAAGGCTGCTTAGACCTGCTAAGGCAACCACTCTAGGAAAAAGACAATTCTGAATTCAAAACCAATCAGAAGTGAAATGGTTTCAATCAAGCTATCCTTACAGAGACAAATTTATTGCGATTAAGTCTACACTTATGTCCACATTTATATTTACACACATACAAACACACACACATTTTTACCTGTAGAAGAACATTTCCGCCTAGAAAAACATGATTTCAATAGCCATGCAAAATTCACTATTATTGAAAAAATAGAAATAGGCACAAAAATTAAACTTAGAAAAATACGAGAGGAACATGAAGACAAATGGATTTTTCACCTCAAAACACTTTGTCCAGGCGGACTAGACCGCAGACTAAACAACACAGATAGAAATAATATATAATCCTATAGATCAACCCACACCCATATTTCTCAACCATACTAGACAGAAATACTTGCAGAGGTGTTGAGGTCTCTCACATACACCCACTCACACAAATATACATACATACACACACACACTCCCAAAAATCTAAAAGATAACATACACTTAACACATTCAACCCCTTCTCAGCCACCAATAAAGCTGTCAAAATGACTAAGAAGGGAATTCTGAAACACATGAATCTCCCAGCTTCTATTAAAAAAAAACAATTGAAAGACGTCGTTTAACCAATACAAGGGCTGACCAAAATTAACGATAAAAAACAAATGAAAACTACAAAGCTCACTTTCTTCAGAGACAGTCATTCACTCTAGTAGTTCACTGCTGCTAACAAGCAGTTATTTTTCTCTTGATGATACCCATGTTGGCCGAAACTAGTCGAGGAACCTGATTTAAATAATAAAACAAAAATAGTAATATACAAGCCAGTGTGCCTGAAATGTTAGCTACGGGTAGCGTAGCGGTTATCAGCGTGAAAAGAAATATCGTCGAAGCGAGTTTGAATTCCAGCCTTTTGTGTTCATTTTCATATAAATACCCTTAGAGAAGACATGGAACTATCTCTTCTCCCATTTGCTGCGGGTTAAATAGTAGAAAAGATTTTTTAACCTAAGGTAGTAACAAATCTAAGGGTAGGAAATCTCTGACTTCTAAACCGTAGAAAAGACAACAGTAAACATCTCCACTATATTTCCCAAGAATCCATGGCAATTCACAAGTGATAAAAATTAGGAATCTATGGAGAGCCAATATAGCCTAATTCCAAAAGGGACGAGATAATTTTTTTTAAAAATCAGAACGCATGAATCATTCATAGAGCCTGATTCGTGCTAGAAATAATTTCCTATTTTGCATCTTTTCAAACAACAAAAGAAAACTTTGAACGAACCTTTTTTTTTCTAAGTAACCAGATGATATTCGTTTAGGATGGACGTTAAAGAATATTCAAATGTCACTGGGGCAAAAAACTTACTGAGCTATAAATATGATATATCAACATGACGTCAAGTTATTGGTTATGTTAAATGTCTGCACATAAAACGAAGGTAGAAATTGAATAAAACTCCCGGAAATTATTTACTAAACAATCCTTAGAATATCTAGAATTTAATGACGGCAGTTTTCTTAAAATTGTGGCTGAAATTAATAATGCAACACATCGGTCTACTTTGAAATAAATGATAATCCGGAATTCAACACAGACAAAGTAATGTTGATAAAAAGATTAAATTCCAACGAAGAATTTAAAGTATTTTCTCGCATCAGCCGGGAACCAATATATCTAATTAGAGATAAGAGGACGTCTTCAAAAGTTCGTAATCTTACATATTTTCCGAAATTAGTATATCAGTGGCGGTGTGCATATTTACTTTCGTAAGCCTCTCGAATGCACAAGACAGTAGACGCAATTCACACTGTTTTTATGAAAAAAAACATGGCATTTATTCAAACAGAGGTATCCACAAAATAACGTTTGTAGTAGTAGGGAATATATAATGATAAATTGTAGCTTTAAGGTAGGCTATGTGAGATCCTCGGTCTCTAGACACCATGGATCTGTACCCAAAGAGTTATGCCTCAGTTACTGATTTTCCTCTCCAGAGCGCAGATCCGAGCAGCGTTTTATGAGACTGGCTATTGGCCATCCAAAACGTCTTCTCTATCCTCGCCACCGATGTTGTACAAAGGAAAGGTAGAGGCCAATACAGATTGGCACCGGCATCGTCGCAGGACTTGCAAGAACGAAGTTGAACATAACATCGCACTTTCTTAGGTATTCGTACTCCGGATTTGACTTCAGAGTTTACCCTCGAAGTTTTCCCCTGATTGAGTATAGCCGCAAGACAGCGGAGGTTTAAATTTCAGGTTTGGCTTCTCTTAGATGGATTTCCCACTCGGACTCACGAGTTCCATCTACATCTTTAGAATAATTTAAATTATAATCGCTGATGCCTGTCCATTAACCCTACAGGATAGCGTAATAAACCGGAAATAAGTGACCTTGCTATTCATAACGCCCCACTGACCAACATATGTAAATAACGAGTTACCACCTAACACACATGGCCTGAAGATTGCGTTCAAGCATGAAACAAAATATCGCCACTCTGTTTTCACTTTAGTCACTCGCTGCATTCATATTTGTTTTACATACTTCAAACATGGTGACAGCTAGATTGCTTTTTTGAAATGTAAATATACATTCCTGTATTGATATGGTCGGGGGAGTTAGCTTTACATTTACCTTTAAAATAATATTCTTTCCCAAAACTTAAAAATGTGCAAACAAATATGGCCTCCTTTAAAGAACAAATTATTCTGAAGCCTGTCGTCTCGTGAGAATGAGATACTGATTGGCAAGAAGACGATGTTGAAAACGAGCGATCTGTTTTCTTCATGAAAGTGAAGGTCGTATAGGAAGATTCAAAAAATGCCAATAAAGAAGGAAAACGGAGAATTCTAGAGACAGTTGTGCAGAAAGCACCACGACAAATGTTAAGACCGTTAAAGTTAAACAAATCCTGTGGGTAATGCAGTTTTTTTTTTCTTTACTTCAGACGTTTCTTTTTCTATCGTCCTTTTAAAACGAAAACAAAAAAAAAAAACAAAGGAATAAATAAAAGATTTGAAGCAGGTTTTTAAATGGAAACATTTACACACACTCCATTACGGGGATAGTGACTAATCATAGAGTAGGAATAGAGTGTTGGGGCAATCTTCAAATTGCAATGGACCAAACTCACTTTAATATTGGCATTGGAAATTCTGTCTGTTCGTCTGACAATAAACACTGAACTCACGTTCTATAAGCAGTCACACAATTTTAATATCAATCGAATAAGAAATTAGTCATGCTAGAGAGATAAAGAGATAGATATGTAAATACATATTAACAGAATGAGATAGATAGATAGATAGATAGATAGATAGATAGATAGATAGATAGATAGATAGATAGAAATTATCAGAATTAGATAAACAAAGAGAGATACTAACATAATGGTATATATATATATATATATATATATATATATATATATATATATATAGTATGAGAGAGAGAGAGAAGAGAGAGAGAGATATTAAAATAATTTGATTGACGAATATCAACATAGATATTAACAGAATTAGATAGATAGATAGATAGATAGATAGATAGATAGATAGATAGATAGATAGATAGATATTAACAGAGTGAGATAAACAGA